AAATTCGTTAAAACTTATTGTACACCCCCAGCGCAGGTTAAACATCTACACCTCCGGTGTAGGTTAAGGATGCCCGTTGAAATGACCCAAATGACACATGACCAGTCATTTGAGGTCATTTGGGTCACTTGCCATCACTGCAAGGGAGGGATATTGAGTGTTTAAGAATTTCCAGCTCGTATATATAAAAAAATTAATTAGGCCAGCCTGGCATCTTGAACATTTTATCATACTGGCACCTTGACAGCCTGGCAAATGATCATCAAAAAATACTAACTGTACTGTAAATCTCGAAAGCGATTTTCATGCGGAATTATGATTCAATCGTAACAAAACTTATCACTTCAATTACTATTATCTGCTATATAAAGTATATATTTCAATTCCTTTATAAATAAATATTTTTTTTTTAATTATTATATACGATTCGTATTAATTATTGCTTGGTAAATTTATTCCATTTAATTAATATCAAAATTATGAATTTAATTTTTTATGAACTCGGCAATTAAAGTGACTTTCTTCGATAGAATACTTCCACTATTCCTTTCTGCTCCTATAAATCGTTTACTCACTAAAATAGCTGGTAGATCGTGAAATTAATTAAATTCAACATAAGCAATTAAATCTGAATATGAAAATATTAAACAATGGGAGAAAATCTTGTTCAAAAACCTAGTTGCTAATAAGAAATTTCTTGTATAAACAGCATAACGATAATCATTTTGGGAAACGTCGGAATATTGGAATTTTCATTTGAACATATTTGGGACAGCTCAGAATATTTCGCAGAAATTTAAAATACATTTTTATTTATTTTCATTAAATTGAATTTTTCCATAAAGTCAACTTTAATTCAAATTTCATTTAAACATCTCTTTTATTTATACCGAAAAAAAACTTGAAGATTTTAGTTCAGATTTATCAAAAATGATTAACTCTACGGACAATATCAATATACTAATTCAGAAACTGTTCATGTTTTTGATTGAAATGCAACGTGAAGACAACGATTTTAACGAAACGAGGAATTTTATTGATGAAATCCATTACTCTATCAACTCGATTAACCGGTGATATTTTAAGGAAAATCAAGATGGACCAAAACAGATGTTCATCCTTGGTATTACAATCTCGATTTTAAAGGAAATAATAATGAAAGGCAGATCATTATCCTATTACACAAGTATTACATGCGGAAATTAGTATGTATCATGAACAAAGTAAACTCCATGTCATTTTTGCAACACAATTTTGAATTCCACGGAATAATGCATGTTAATATCTATTACATTTCGTCGTATCCCGAATTTAATAATTATAAAAAAAAAGATAGACGCAACTTTTAGAAAATAAGAGACATAATAATTATGAATTTTCGCCATTTTGTAATGTAAAAGCCTGGACATGAGTAAAATCTGTATGGATTAACATTTCACTGAAATTCATTAGTAAATCAAATGCTCTCAGTGAACATCGAAAACATAATACGGCAACTTGTAATTATTAAGATGATCATAATATGGAACACGTCTTTGGACCAGTTTGGTTCTAGTAAAACCGGTATAAACAGATTAAACTAGCAAATTTGGTTCATGCATGCATGATAACTTTTTTATAGTGTAAGGAATTTATACTTCTAGTGAAGGTGCGAAAAATTAAAAAGTGCAGAAATGGAACAGAATAATAATTAGATTGTATTAGCAAATGTCAATAAGCAGGCAAATTTGCCTTGCGAACCTCTACAATTTAAGGGATAAATAAAAATCTATGTTAATTATATTTAATGCATAAATTTTACATTTACGTAAGAGCCATATTGGGTCTTTGGAATTACATATATGTGTAAAAATCAACTGCTGATGTGCATTTATCTTATTTTTTAATCAAACTGGAAAATTCAAAAATATGGTTTCATACTAGGTATCAAATTGCAAAAAAGATTAAATACACTCAACAAATTGATATTTTTCATCCCATATTTTTCTATGCAGGTAGGAGTGGTAATCAGGCAAGTACAATAAATATTTAAGTTTAATAATTTTTTAATTTTTATAATAAATCTTTTTTTAAAAAATGGATGTGAGAATCTCTTATTGCGGTAAATATATTTTTTAAAAAAACTTAAAATCGAAGCCTACGCATCTCAAATAAAAAAATAAAAAATACGTCTGCGCAAAAGTTTATTTTAGGAAATATTTTTTTTTTAAAAAAAAAAAGTAATTTCGCCTTGTCGCATTATAGTTTATAAAGTTATTTTTATTATAGTAAATTCGCAATAACATAATTGCGTGAAATTCATCAAAGAATTTCCAAATTCCCATTTCGAATTTTTTCTGCAATTCCATTTGAAGATGCATCTTTATTAATTTTTGGTAAATCGACTTTATTGTTATTATTTATTTACTAACTATACCAATTAATAAAGGTTCGGATATCCAAATTGAAATTGTAATTGAAATTTACAACTATCTATTGTTTCAAATTATTAAACTACTAGCAAATTTAAAAATTTTTTAAAAAAAAAAAAAAAAAAATGTAAAAGAACTTTACGGCCATTTTGCCGAAATGAACAAATGCACATTTCTTTGCGCACGCATTCCGATTTGGAATATCCGAAATGATCATTTCGGATATTAACGCATTTGGATTACAAAGCATAAACAATGCTTAAAAAAGAAATGACAAAATTTTAAAAAATTTTGGTTTCTTTATATTTTTAACAATGACTGACGAAAAAGGTAAATTATATTTACCCTACCCTATATATAAAAATCTAGAATAAAGAAAGAAATATTGTATTAAAGTTGGGCCTGAAACGTGTTTGAAATTTATTTTTTTTTTTTTTAATAAAATAATTTGCAAAACGTTAGAAGGGATTTCGGATTTTAAGAAAACCTCTTCATTAGAAGAATTAGAAGGTAGCATATTAGAATCATTTCCAATAATAAAATAAAAACAGATATTATAATTCATTAAATGATTCTATTTTAAGCAAAACTAGATTCAATTGCCAATAACGATTTCACGTTTGAAGGTAAATATTAATTATAAATCATTCTTAATTTATTTTCACTATAAAATTTAATAAATTTATAAATTTGCGATGTGTTTATAAAATTTTTATGTTTAAGGTAAGAATAATTGACAAGATTATTTTTAAGCTTTAACCCGGATACTAATTATTTTTTTAATTTTTATTCATTGTTTTTTAATGAAGTTTCGAATGCCAATAAAATTTTTACATTTGAAGGTAAGTATAACGATGATGGAAATTATATTATCATTTAACATTAATTGAATAAATACTCAGCGAAGTTAGATTCAAATGCCAATATCACACTTGAGGGTAAATATTAATTCATATACTTTTCCTATTTTCTATATTTTACTAAAATTAATAAATTTGTAATGATTAGAGCCAGTTTCAAGTGTTTCGAATGCTAGTAAAATTTTTACAATCGAAGGTAAACATGATAATACAATATAATTCTCAATATTTTATTTAATAAATATGAAAAAAAAATCCAGGATTAAAAGGTAAAAAAATCGTATTAGTAAATTTCTAACTAATATTCATTAATCAATTAAATTTGACATGTCAACGGTTAGATGATATTCTAAAGTCTTTATTTTTTTCATGAATTTACATTAGAGCCAGTTTCGGATGCTAAAAAAGATCTCTTATTAAAAGGTAATTATACTCATTTTTGTTTAAAATTCAAAAATAGAAACAGGTTTAATTGATAAAGGTAATACAACTAATATTAATTTCAAAAATAAATATTATAATATAATCAGATTCAGATACTCCTACATTAGAAGAATTAAATAGTAATAAATTTATTATCTATTATTTATTTATATAATTA